TATATATATATATATATATATACGTCGGCGCTTTAATATATATATATATATTAAAGCGCCGACGCACCACCTACATTTTCACTTTCATTCGAGGCCAACATCCGGCGAATTCCTAGACGCGAATAAAGGAGAGAAAGGATGCGAATAAGAAAGAGAGAGAGAGAGAGAGAGAGAGAGAGAGGAGGCGAAGGGTTACCGTGACAAATGTTTCCACGTCACATGCCGCAAATTTGCTTTTGTCAAATTTTGCCGTAGCCGAAGCCCCGAAATAAAAGGATTTACTTAACAGCAAGCGTATTCGCAAGAGGTAAATGAATGCCCGAACAGAAGGAGCAGCCGGAACCGGTGAAAGCGGAAAATCCGAGATTTTGCCAATTGTCGAAAACAGAGAGTGTGCATTTCGCCCGACGCGTCGGGAGATGCGGCCGTCCCGCAATCGGCGTTGCTAGGCGCGCGGGGAGTTGTTTATTATACGTAGCCGTTGCCGTGTGTCGTAAACAACTCCTCACGCGCCTAGCAATGCCGATCGCGCGTTTGAGTCGGGTGGTAGGCCGGGCTAAGACAGCGATTTTTAATAATTAATAACTCGTTAACTATTGCGAAAATTGCAAAATGGTACAGGACTTTTCGACTCAGTTTAGTCCGCTCTATCCGTAAATAAGAGGTGAGGCGGTTATTACATAACACCCTGTAGATTTGCGGTATTACTAAGCAGCATTTTTGGCCATTATAAGGCCTTGCCGAGGGCCTTGCTGAGGTATTATAAAGACAAAATAAGATAACATAAGATAAACATCGTAACATTAGTTTTCTTTAACATTGTCACGAGTATTTAACTTTAATTTACATAAGATCAAAGGTCAGATAAATGAGATAAAATAAGATAAGATAAAGTAATGCCCACTGGGCATTAGTGGGCATTGGTGTATAAGATTTTGGTCAGCGGTTTTCCCCTCGTTAAAATGTATACCAAGGACGATGACCTGAGAAAAATTTTCATCGGCTAAGCTTGTTAAATAGTGTTTTTGATGGTTCATTTTTCCAATTACGTTTTCCGATTAAATTATGGATAACATCCGAGGAAATTTATCCGACGGGATGCAGATACCGATGAAATTTGATTAAAAAACCAATCATATTTTTCATCGGGTATATAATTTAATTGGATATATCCGTTTGTTATTATTATGTAATTGGATTATCCGATTATATTTAATCGGACCTTTTTTTCAGTGCAGTGAAATGCATGGTGAAATTTCAAATACCTCTCATAAGATTCTTCGAAATGTTATCCCACAATTAGATAATCTTTAGGATAAATTTTAAGAGAAAATTCTCTCTGCGTACAATCAAATAATTTTAAGAACTGTGTCGTGAAGAATTTTAAATAGGTACACGGAGAGAATTTTCTCTTAAAATTCACCCTGCAATCGTGTGTAATTCAACCTTATGTAATCGTGGGACAACATGGTATTTGGAAGACCTTTATAAGAACTTTTAGAAATTTTACCATGTATTCTACCAGTAAAATGTATACTAAGTAAAATTACTAGTAAAATGCGTGGTAAAGTTTCAAAAACCTTCGTAAAATCCTTTGAAACGCCACATTGTCCCACGATTACATGATTTTCAGGATACATTTTAAGAGAAAAATCTCTCCGTGGAGTGAAATCAATTACTCGTAAAATGTATAGTAAAATTTCAAGAAACTCTTCTAAAGTTCTTCAAAACGCTACATTGTCCCACGATTACATAATTTTCCGGATAAATTTTATGAAAAAAATCTCCCCGTCTAACTAGTACAATTATTTTCCGGTAAAAGTTGCAAATTGACTGGCTATACATTTCTCGAATTGGGGCCTTGGACTGAGGACAGGGAGTTGCTGTTCACTGTGACTCTTATAGCGGATTCAGTTGCTTGCACTAGTGCAAGCCTGAGTGAACCCAAAGGCTTGTTTACAGTCAATTCTTATATTTCAGGGTCGTCTTAAATATCTCTTGCACTATTTAGCCAGTAAAATGATCTGTTTAGCATCCATACGCATCATTTTGTGACTAAACGCTTTTCGAATATGTATTTAAAACAAAGTTAAATGTCAAAATTGACTATAAACAGGCTTTAGTGTGCACTCGGTGCGCACTAGTGCAAGCAATCGATTTCGCTATTAATCAGAGTCGCAGCAACTATTTATTTTCAAGGTTTTCGCCAATTTCACGGAAATCCAATTTCCGTAAGAACCGTGTAATGTCCGTATTGGACTAGCGACTCGCGACCTGCGTATCGCCTCTTCGAGGGTCAACGACTTTAGTCCTAGTCTGCAATAGATGAGTTAAGTCCTGAGCTTTAAGAAATTGACCAATCACGGTCAAGTATGAGTAGAATACGCGACTGTGATTAGTCAATTTCTTAAGGCTAAAGCCTCCGCTACAATGATTCTCGGTTCTGTCTACAATGGTCGTAGTCGTAAGAATAATCGACTGCGATTGGCCAATTCTTATCGAGCGACTACGACTACGACCATTGTAGACAGAACCGAGAATCATTGTAGCGGAGGCTTTATGCGTGGTCTACAACGCGAGTTGCAGAGTCGTAGTCGTAAAAATAATCGACTGGGATTGGTCAATTTCCCTGAAAAGGACCACAACCCGTATGGTCGAAACGTCGAGACAGCCGGATTTTAATTGAATAAATAAACCATCTGCCAGCCTAAGTCGTCTAACAATTCTTTTTATCGTTTTTATTTACTGGCGATTCACATTCATAACTGTTAGAAATTAGGAGGTGGCGCAGATTCACGGTTTATTGACAGACGCTCCTGTCGAGTTCAAGGCGACGTCGATATTCTGATAAGCGCGCGAATTCGCGCGCCGATAAAGTCGTTGGCCCCGAGTCGAAGAGGCGATACGTCGTAGACGCGTAGGTGGATAGCCGGAGCCTTATGAATGAACTCTCGCGCAGTCGAGAGTGTGAGTGAATGGAGGAGGATCCAGTAACCTCACGTGCGAGCGACATGTGTGGGAGGGCAAGTCGGGAGTGGTAGGAAAGAGAGAAAAACGGAGAGAAAGAGAGGAAGGAGCGTATAGGGAGTGTCTAACAGATAGAGTGTATGTGTGTGCGTGTGTGTGTGTGTGTATGTGTGAGGGAGGAAACGTGAGGAGCGATGTTCGGATTCGCAGATCGCACACTCTCGTGCGATCATCCGATATCTAACCCCTCGTTTAAGCGATCGCTAACTTCGCCGGACCGTCGTGACGGCGACGAGGAATATTTCTGACATCCGCAAAAATTACTATTCGCGTGCACGTTTACGCCTCGCGCTATTACGGACCGAGACGCAAACGACGAAATGTATTCTTTAGCGTAATCGTATACGTTTCGCGCGTTAAGCGTTAAAGCGCGTAATTATATTCGCGTAAACTGACGACACTTCGTCGCATACGTCAATGTGTATTTCCTATTAAGTCCAGGACTCCTGATCGAGCAACAGCTGGGCATGATGCAGGACCCCGAAAACAGTACTCAGCTCGAGAAAGCGCAGCGAAAGATGTTCAGTATGTTCAACCCCAGTTCAGGACTACCGAGGATGACTGTCGAGGAACAGCTGATTGCAAATCAAGCGACACTAGCTCTGATGACGGCGAGACTTCCTATATCGTTACACGCCACCCTCACCTCCTCCCCGGCGCTCTACCAGCAGTTCGGATGCGGTAGTTGGATGCCGCGAATCGCATCCTCGCCGCCCTCCATTCTGCCGATGCCAGAAGCGTCGTCGGTCCCCAACACGAAGCCCGCGTCTCGGCGCAACAACAATAACAACAATAATAATAATAATAACAATAACGACAACAATGACAACAATAACATGACGAGCAACGACGATGATAGGATTGTCAGGAGGGGTCGCGCCGCCAAGAGAAAACTGACCAAATTGAAAGCGGAGACCGCGGTAGAAGGTGCAGACCCAGTCAGTCCTTCCGTCAGTCCCGAGACGGCCAAGGATAGCAAAGATAAGGTCTTCACCTGTGGCGTGTGCCAGAGATCCTTCGGATATAAGCACGTACTGCAGAATCACGAACGTACGCATACGGGCGAGAAACCTTTCCAGTGCCAGGAATGCCAAAAAAGGTGAGAATCTCTGCGATATCCCCACGTCGTCCCTTCTCGCCATCTTTCTGAATCATCTGCACGAGTTAGATTACTATCGTGTAATATCGACTCAAGGATGTCGAGGCGGTACAGACACATTTTTCCCCTTGAAAGTTAAGTTGCTTATGTACAATTAATTTCAAAAGTTCTGACGCGATTTTATATTTTCCCGGTACACAAATTGTAAATTGGCGAGGTATACTTCAGTAACACAAATTTGCGGCCACTCTGATATCGTTGCAACAGTATTCGGCACCGAGAAAGTTTTAAAATTTTTTTCGGAAACATTATTAAAGAATATAAAAAGATAACGCTTGTGTTCTATTCAAAATAACAACAATGTAGATAAGGCCGAGATTAACGAGCTTTTCGGTTGACAGAATATTAACATTAATTTACTACAGAATATGTGAATACATTCAGACTCTAGAGTTGCGGACGCGTTTCGGCATAATGCATATATGAGTACGGTGTTTGATCATAATTTTCCTAGTTTTTGACCAATTAAGTTTGTAAATTTTGATGAAATCTAAGAATTATTGTTTTCGATGTATTAAGAATTTTATAATTTGGCGGCTATTCATGTTTGTAATTATTTAATTGAATGTATATTCGAAGTATATTTTTAGATATAAACGCTGATAAAAGCACCGTGTGCCGAAACGCGTCCGCAACTCTAGAGTCTGAATGTATTCACATACTCTGTAGTAAATTAATGTTAATATTCTGTCAACCGAAAAGCTTGTTAATCTTGGCCTTATCTACATTGTCGTTATTATTAAAGAAACAAATAAATCTCCTAACGAAGCTAAAATTGGTCTAGATATTTTCTGTCTTATTCGTTCTGTATTTTCAAGACCGTGTCATTTTATTACTCAAATAAATCACATAACAGAATGACAGTCACGCTGGATTTTAGTGCTTAATAATAGTTTTGCGTATACATCTTTTTTCAACGCAGCCGCTGCGTGTCGATAACTTTTTCAGTCTTGAAACAGTATTAAGACTAAGGTCGAAATATGTGTAGTATACGCGGAGAGAATTTTGCCTTCAAATTTATCCTGAAAATCATGCGATCGCGGGGTAACGTGACATTTCGTAGAATTTTGAGTTTCTTTTTAAATTTTACTACTAAAGTGTATGATAAAATTTCAAAATCCCATCTCTTTTTCTTAAAATTTATCCTAAAAAACATGTAATCGTGAAACAACGTGGCATTTTGACAAACTGTGAGTTTTTTGAAATTTTATATACACATTGTACTAGTTCATGTTATTGTATTGTAATTCATTTTACCAGTAGAATGTATGGTAAAATTTCAAAAAATTCGATTACGTGATTTTCAGGATAAATTTTAAGAGAAAATTCTCTCCGTGTACCAAATTAGATTGACCTTTTAGAAAACAATCTGTAAATAATTTATTGCGATAAAAATTACCTCAGCCAGGATTCGAATCTGGATCTCCCTACTAACCGGGATAATTTATTTAATTTTTTCAGTACCAAGTTTCTTAAACAGCTTGAAATTTTGACATAAATTTTTTACGATGAAATCCACAGAATCCACTTGTATTCAAATTATAATTTAGTCGTAATGCCTAAACATTCTTAATGGGGAGACGCTTTACCGGGTACATTATGACCTTTCGTATCATTCAACGAAAGCGCGAATTGACCCGAATAATTTTTGACCTTTTAATTTTGCAGATTTACACGGGACCACCACTTGAAGACGCACATGCGACTCCACACGGGCGAGAAACCCTACAAATGCAAATACTGCGACCGAAAGTTCGTTCAAGTGGCGAATCTCCGTCGCCACTTACGCGTACACACGGGCGAGCGTCCGTACCGCTGCGACGCGTGCCCGTCCACATTTAGCGACTCGAATCAGCTGAAGGCGCACATGCTGATACACAACAACGAGAAGCCGTTCGAGTGCGAGAGCTGTCAAATGCGGTTCAGACGGCGGCACCACTTGCAGCAGCACAAATGCAGCAACAGCGCGGCGCAGGAGTCACCGCCGGAGGCCGAGTCACCCCCGTCGTTGAACAGCGACGAGCTCGACTCGGAGGAGTATGTCGACGTTGACGCCGACGTGGACATCGACGGGGAGCAGGCGCCGGAGGAAGAATCGGAGGGACTCACCAGGAAGTACATCGTGCCGGCCAACCGACTGGCTCATCTCCGAATGAACCCCGGCCGCGACATATACTCGGCCGCGATCGCGCTGAATCCTACCCCCATAGGTTTCCCGGTGCAAACGGAACCCGAGGACCTGTCCATGAACAAGTCGTCCTCGCGCAGATCACACTCGGGCGGCAGTAACAACTCGTCGCTAAACGCCGACATCAGTAACGAGACCAACCTCGAGGAAGACGACGACGAGGAGGACGAGGCCGCCACGTTCCTGAGGCGTTCCCGTGCCCATCGTCAGCGGATAGCCACCGACGGCGATCACGTCTCCTAGTGAAGCCTCAGCGGTACGTAGAGAAAATTGCGTAAATGACGTTGCCGCGTCGCTCCCGACACCACTGGGCGATGCGGTGAGGGCGTTCTTTACATATTCTCTCTTGTATAAGGCTGACGTTGCCTTATACGTCTTGCGCGTTTACGTTTAAAGCGCTCGCGAGAGAGCGCGCCCCGCCAAATCTTTGTCGCGTACATGGTTTCGCGCCGGAGAAGAGTTGGGAGCGGAGAAGAGGAAGAAAGAGAGGAAAAAAGGGGATAATAAGAGGAACTCTCGTGTTTAGTTATTCTGCAAATTGTCGAAAATTGTTTATTGATCAATTATCTACTGGCGAGATTAACATTTACACTTGTTATTACACACCTTGATCTAGCAATGGTGTCTATTGATTTAGTTATTCTGTTAATGTCTTTTGCTCGACAACCGATGAAAAACCTTGATGTAGGTCTATACCATTATCATTATCTCTATTTATCCTCACGTGCGGACGCGCCTTGCGTCGACGAAAGAAGATGAATATAGCTGTTTGATATACTGGTACAAGTTCCTCTGACAGTGAAAAGTAGCGGGGAAAAGTGACGTCCACTGTCCGTCGGTCCACTGTCGCTGTCGCGGGTGTCGCGATTTCTCCGGCGCGTACCGCGAGGACACGCATATTCTTCGTCTCATGTTCTCCATCATCTCTGTCTAACTGTACCTATATCAAGTTTCTTATCACATTATCCTTTTTTCCTTCCTTTTCTCCTTTTTCTCCGCTTCCGACTCTTCTTCGGCGCAAACTATGCACGCGACGGACTTGGCGGCGCGTACTTGTTCGCGGGCGCTTTAAATTTGATCGTGCTCGATCCGTGTGACGGCCCCTCTCGTATCCATAATCTAGATCACGCGCAAACGTATAAGGCGACGGTGCCTTACAGAGATAACGTCGTGTAAATAACACCCTTACCGCATCGCCCGATAATGTCGAGGGCGACGCAGTAACGGCATTGTTTACGCAATTTTCTCTACATTTATCTCGCAACTTTGTACATCACCCGCGCGTTGGTACGCTACCCCCCCCCCTTCCGTGATTATCCGGAGATTTGTTGGTCATGCTTTCTCGGTCGAGCGAACGTTCGAATAGACACCGAAACGATTCGACATTCGCGTGCTCGAGACGTTCCAGATACGAGAAGCGATTTCGAGCCTTTATTCTTGCGCTGATAGGCAACTGTTGTTGTGCCGCAAAAATCAAGCGGCAATAAAAACTTTCAAAGATCACGCGATTGAATTAACATTCTATTAACACGCGCTTCACTTTTTTTATGTTCTCTCTCGAATGAAGTGACGAATGTCGTCACTCTCGCATCTCTGGCGGTTTAGCAAACTGGAAAATCGTAATCGCCGAGCGACTCGATTTAAAATTCAAACTGGCCCCCCACCTCCGATTACCTCCTCCAGTTTCGCCTTGATCGCACAGAATAAGGTACGCATAATCCAGATCCGCTTCTCCGATTTCCGCCTACTATCCTTCGGACGCGCGCACCCGGTCTCGTCATGAATCCCTTCAAAAAGATCTAAGCTTTTTTGTGCCGGACTTTTTTTCTCTCTGATCACAGCCGGCGCGCGCGTCTTTCGCGCAAACCAGTTTTCGCGACGACACGTCGGCACAACGAAAAATTTTTGCAGCCGTTAACCGGTCCCTTCGTCCGAATCTCCCATCGCACCCCCATCTTCGGGGTTTCTTTAAGGATGAATGCTCATCTGATTTACTGGACCAGATGATAGATTTTCCATTTTGACCGCTTCATGGCAATTGAAACACGTATTGTTCGTACAGGTCCATGGCACGTTTCTAAGGTTGAAAAATTGCTCTCATTTTCACATCCGTTTCTTTCGTAACATAATGCCTCGGAATGCGAATCCCTGCGTTCCTCATGAAAGACAAAGAACGAAAGACAGAAATACGAGAGAGGAAAGAGAGAGATACAAAGATAGTGAATGGAATACATTTTGCACAATGTTCTTTGAACACTTAGACCGAATTTGCCCTCATATATCTCTTGCTTTTCTTTTGTTAAACTTTTGAAAAAAGACGAAAGACAGACTGGGGTACATCCAGACTTGCATTATTTTTGCACATTTTTCCGGCTGGGCGTTTTCACTTTTAAACATACATATGTCCGCGCAGTTTCTGTAGCAACTACTAAAAGAACTGTTAAAAATTGCGTGAACAAATCGATGCTTAATCGAAAGACGCTTGGCGCCAAACATAAAAAAAACATGTAAATTTCTTTTTATAAAGTGCCAAAGAGTGTAATAAGGTCTTTTTACGTGCTAGATTAACTTTTCCCTCAAATTTCATTTCCGGACACGCAGCTATCATAAAATCTAGGACTTCTTCTCACGATTCTTTTTATTTCGACTCCTTTCCTTTCATCTCTTCTCTTTTATTCTCATTTTCACTCTAATTGGAACCGTTTTATCGGAATTTGACCCAAGGTTCTTTTACATGAAACAATTAAGCTCAATTATCGTGCCAGTACCTGTGTGTCACATTGACATTTGTCGTGCAGACATAATCTTGCAACGAGCATAAATTTCACACTACGCAATCCTCTTTACTATACTTTTACTCTTATTGATTGTTTAGGGTGAGCATTAAATCTATCCACACTTTTCAATTCGGTCGGCTCCTGGCGCAATTACATTTTGTTCCTTTTTCCTTTCCTTCTATCTGCGCGTGTCGCGGAACGTCTCGTGCGCATTGTCAACGGAAATTTGCAATCTTTCGCTCGGCCGAGTTTTCCCGTTTTCTCCCCTTTTCATCAAAGTCACTTGTTAAAACGTCGTTAATTTTATTATTATATCATATTTTTCGGTGACTAGGTTTAGAAAAAGATAACACGCCGCCCTTCGTCGATTCGTACACTTCCGCGCACTTGTTCCATCGGTCGCATTCCGCAGGGAGCTGGGCAGTCCCACGGAAGTCTCGGAGAGAGAAACGCAGAGTAGACAAACACATCTTATCTCAACGCAAATTCCGAAATAAGCTGTTCAAAATCGTCGACATCGCCAGGCGCTCGATCGCCGAGGCGCCGTGACGACCTTACACAACTCAGTTAGCGGTCGAGTCTCCGGTAGCTCACATTCTCGCGAGACGCGAACACATTACCTCTGCCGAATGCGCCCGTCGCGTTGGTACTGTCGGGTTATAATCTCCACCGCGCGAAGCACGCAGAAAGCGACAGAGGTCAGCGGATCTCGATCTCGTGCCCCGAAAGAAGGGCAAACTCACTCCCCGAGACCCCCCGAGTAAGTTATCGTACACACGGCGTCGTTAATGCCTAGCTACCTAAAGTTGCACGCGGATCGAGGTGCGTTTGAAAAGCTCGCGACCTTCTAACTCTTCGTGCGCCGTGACAATGAAACCGGCAGCTGGTTCGCTGTTTCCATAGCCGTGATGCACGAATAGTCGAATAGTTAGAGAGTCGCACGCCTTCCAGAAATGCCTCGTTCCGCGTGCAACTTCAGATGGCAAGGTATTAATTACACTGTGTGTACATAGAGGGACTGGCGTCCCGCGAGCGTAGGATCGCGCAGCGAGGTCGCAAGCATAAGCGTCGCCCCGACCTTTTTTCCTTTCCCTCGGAGAAGTGGCGGATGAACGAGCGGCGCGTCGCCGTGACAGAAGGGTGATGATTTCGCCCGGCGCAGGCGAGGAACCGGTCTTCTCGCCACTCAGGCGACGGGACGACGGAAAAACGACGTATCGGGCCCGGGACTTCGCGACGGGAGAGGCGCCGCGAGTTAATCGGACGGCGCCGAGGAAGAGTTTCCCTTGTCAAGGGCGCGCGCGTGCGCTCCGGACAAAAACCTTCCCTCGTCACGCGGCCCAATTACAGGTGACGATTACCTCGTCACGGAAACGCGAAGGAATAAGCCCTCGGGACAAGCGTCTTCAGAATAGCGATCGACACAGCCGTGACTTCGCCGGGTTCAAACGCGGAATGCCGCGGGGAAATGCGAAAGCGAATCTCTATGTCTGCTCGCGTTAGCATCCAGTGGCGACGATCGGGCATAGGGTGTACATTGATTTGTCTCTTCTCCTCCTCGCGGGCATCGGGAGTTGAACTCGCCGAAATTGTACCGTCTCCAGTCCATGCTTAGTATTTTAGAACACGCCCCCGGGGCGCATCCGATTTGCGTTTGTTTCGCTATTGCGCTCGCTAAGTCGCTCGTCGGTCCCTCGTCGTTTCACGGCGACGCGGCGCGTCGTTCACCCGTCACGCGGCACGGCGCTCGCGACACAGGTGGCGCTTGACGCGCGCTCGCGAATTCCCACGTGCCGGCGCGTTCAACCCGCGTAGGCGGATTTCGGCTATTGTCCATTTCGGGAACGAAGACCGCGCGTCCTAGTTTTGTTCCTAACGTTCAACGTTTGACAATTCGCGTGCCCCGCGTCGCCGAGTCGAAGGGATCCTTTCCGTCAACAACGGGCCCGCAAGTTATCCGACTTCCGCTCGGCACGACGCGGCGCGCTACACGCGACGTTTGAATGCAAGAGTACCTTGAGAAATGTCGATTCCTAGTTAATGGTTGTTAGTTCCAAGCACTCTTTGTAACTTACGTTCCTGCCGTAGGCCTTGCCTCGGCCCGCTATTCTGTTTTTCTTTTTTTTCGATTCCTTGCAAGCAGACCCAGAGTTGCGAAAATATCGACGAGGCGAGAGATCACGTTAAGTATTGTGATTAATGAATAAGGTTATCACTTGTCCTACTGTAATCATTACTGTTGTTGTCCTCTTATTCTTAACGTGCAAAAACTATGTATACATATTATATATATATATATACATCATATATATATATACATATACATACATACATATATATATTTGTGTCGAATAGTTGTAATGTATTAATATGATGTGTGCTCGAACTAAACTGAAAGGATTAGAAGACAAGACGGGACGATCGGGGCATTTGGATATTTCGATATTGCTTGGAAAAATATAAAAAAAAAGTATATATATATATTTATATATATGAAACAGAGAGATACATTATATAACATTATATATATAAAACGGGAAGGATGATCTGTTCCTTATATACGAATTCTGGCGTGTCAACGTGTTACGGTGGAAACGCACCTAATTCGGCGAGTCTACGAAACGCCCGGCCATTCCGCGGGATCGCCGGCTACTTTGGCGCATGGGAAAAAATTCCAACCACCCCCGCGCGCGTAATTACGTATGATTTTATAAATTGTCCCTCCCACCCCTCCCCTTCACCGGTGATATTACAACGTACGTTTAATTTCATCGCTGACGACCGGCGACGACGACTCTATTCTTATAAAATAAGTGACCGACGGCGATTTTGTCCGCGCGATAAAATCGCGCCAGCGCATACGTAATTAAAAATTTTTATCGCATGCGCCGGCAGCACAGCCACTGATCCCGCGGGATCACCGGTGTGATCTCGCACGAGCGCCAATTGATCACTTCCGCCGCTAACGGGTATGGATTTTTTTCTTTTTTTTTTACACCTGCGCAAACAGTGCCGCGCGACGTTAACTTCGTAGCGTTGAATCTGACACGGCGAGCAGCCACCGCCGCTCCCATTCAACACGTCGTTTTTATTTAATTGAGCAATGGAGTTAAAAGAAACCATAAGACAGGTCGGACAAGAGGTATCGTTTTTTTAACTACACAACTCGCGTTAAAATGAATCGGAATTTTAACGCGCGCGATAGATAAAAGTAACAGCGTGTTAAACGGGAGCGGCGGCGGCTCCGCTCTCGCCGAGTCGGATTTAACACCGCCGGGTTCAACGGCGCGCCCGAAAAATGAACTAAACTCTGACGTTTATTGGCGGACTCTGATATTCGGCTGCTCCCCCCGCATCTTGTTCTCGTAACGCGTCTTGCTCAGCGGCTTACGCCGCTCGCAACGTCGTTCCTTTTTACGCTCCGAGAGGAAATATGTAAGTGGGCGCGCGCGCGGCGCGCCCGTTCGGATTTTGTC